CGTAAGAGAAAGAAAGTAATAAGCTTAAGAACAGAAATTGATTAAATAAAAAACAAACAATAGAAAAAATTAACCAAGTCAAAAGTCGATTCTTCCAAAAGAGTAATAAAACTGATAAAACACCTAGCAAGATTGGTAAGAAAAAAATGAGAACACAAAATAACAATGTTAGAATGAAACAAGGAGTTTCACTACACACTGAAGGGGTGTGGCCAGCCTGAAAACAGCCATCAGCCCCTCACCCAGGCTGGTCACACCCCCATGGGGTGAGGGTACCCTCTGGGGGGCTTGGCCAGCCTGCAAACAGCCATCAGTCCCTCACCCAGGCTGGCCAGGCACCCCAGTGGGGACCCCCCACCCTGAAGGTGGTGTAGCCAGTCTGAAAACAGCCCTCAGCCCCTCACCCAGACTGACCAGGCACCCCAGTGGGACCCCCACCCTGATTCGGGACACCCTTCAGGACAAACCAGCCGGCCCCCACCTGTGCACCAGGCCTCTATCCTATATAATAAAAGGGTAATATGCAAATTGACCCCAACAGCAGAACGACTGGGAATGACTGGTCACTATGACACACACTGACCACCAGGGGGCAGATGCTCAATGCAGGAGCTGCTCCCTGGTGGTCAGTGCGCTCCCACAGGGGGAGCTCTGCTCAGCCACAAGCCAGGCTGACGGCTGCCAGCACAGCGGTGGTGGTGGGAGCCTCTCCCGCCTCCTAAGAAGCGCTAAGGATGTCTGGCTGCAGCTTAGGCCTGCTCCCCGCTGGCATGTGGACATCCCCCTAGGGTTCCCGGGCTGCCAGAGGGATGTCTGACTGCCAGCTTAGGCCCAATCCCCTGGGAAGCAGGCCTAAGCCAGCAGGTGGACATCCCCCGAGGGGTCCCAGACTGAGAGAGGGCACAGGCCAGGCTGAGGGACCCCCCCAGAGTGCACAAATTTTTGTGCACCAGGCCTCTAGTATATTCAATAAAATCCAATCACAATGCCAACAGGCTTTTTAATAGAAATTGATAAGCTGATTTGTAAAATTCATATGAAAATGCATAGGATCTAGAATAGCCAAAACAACTTTGGAAAAGAATAAAGTTGGAAAACTTACACTTCCTGATTTCAAGACTTGTTATAGAACTAAAATAAGCAAGACAAGGTGGTAATGACATAAGGAAAAACAAACTGATCAATGGAACAAAATAGAGAGTTTAGGAATCAACTCACATTTATTCAACTAATTTTTCACAAGAGTGACAAAAAAATCAATAATCTTTTCAAAAAATGAGACTGTATAAATTGATGTATTTTTTAAAAAGTGAACTTCAATCCCTAGTTGCCAGCCTCTAAGAACGCTTATCTCCTGGTATAGTTCCCTCCCACTGAACTGGGCTGACCTACATAACCAGTAGGATATTGCAGAAATGATGGAGTGTGGCTTCTGGGGCTAGGTCACAAAGACATTGCAGCTCTCTCCTTGTTTCTCTTGAATCACTTTCTCTAGACAAATCCAGCTACATGTCACATGGGGATGTCCGTGAGGTAAGGAACCAGCTCCACTTACCAAGCACGAGAGGGAGCCATCTTGGAAGTAAACCCTGCAGCCCAGTCAAGACTTCAGATGACTGTGGCCCAGTTGACATCTTGAGTGTAACTTTTTGAGACCCGAACCAGAGCTACTCAGCTGAGTGACTCTCCGATTCCTGACCTACTGAAACTGTGTGAAGTATTAAATGTTTTCTTTTAGTTCAAAGCCCTCATGTTTTGGAGTAGTTTGTTACAACACTAAGTAAGTAATACAACCCCTACATCACACCACACACAAAATTAATTTAATATGAAACACCCTTGAACATAACACTTAAAAGCATAAATCTTTTAGAGGAAACAGGAAAATATATTTGTGATCTGGGAATAGGCAAAGATTTCTTAGATAGAACACAAAAAGTAATGACAAAGCAAAAGAAAAATAGATACATTAGACTTTATTGAAATTTAAAACAACTGCACATCAAAAGATCATTAATATAATGTATACATAGATCAAATCATCTCATTGTATACTTTAAGTATTTTACATTATTGTCAATAATACCTCCAAGAAGCTGAAGAAAACGGTCATTAAGAAAATGAATAGGCAAGCCACTGACTGAAAGAAAAATTTACAAAGATATAAGCAGAAAGGTTTTTTTGAGTAACAAGCTCAAAGGTTAAGGGATGTCAATAACTTAGAAAAAGACATAAGATTAATGGCAACTAAGTAGATCCTAGGAGTTAAAAAAAACAAACTATAAGCCCAGCCAGTGTGGCTCAATATTGAGAGTCAACCCATGAACCAGGAAGTCACAGTTGGATTTGCACATGCCTGCGTTTGGGGCTCGATCCCCAATAGGGGATGTGCAGGAGGCAGCCAATCAATGATTCTTTCATCATTGATATTTCTATCTCTCTCTCCCTCTCCCTCTCCCTTCCTCTCTGAAATCAATATATATATATTTCTATACATTTTTTAAACTGTAGCCACTATGAGGACCAGTTCTATACATTTTTTAAACTGTAGCCACTATGAGGACCAGCAGTTTTGACAAGAGAAGAAGGGGTGGGACATTACAAGATGAGAGAACAGCAAACACAGAGAAAGGGAACTGAAAGAAATACAATTTTACTTCAGAATAAGGCACAGCAAAGAACATATCCAATCCTCAGTAAATGTTTGCTGAATTGATGTTAAGTTAGATATAAGACTGGACAGACTAGTTGAGGACCAATCATATATGGCTTTTAATGACAAACTAAGGAATCCAGCGTTTACTCTCCTCAGAATGGGGACTACTGAAGGTTCAGAGCAGATGAGCTCTCTAGTACTAATTGTGCTTTAGAAAGAACACTAACACCTCAGTCAGTGCTCATGAATGCTCAGCTTATTAATGGGATGAAATTTCTGGGTTTTCAGTATAGTATTATATTTTTTTAACTAATCTATGTCTCTATTTGCCAGCCCATTGTACAGAAAGCAGAAGGTTTTGCTTCAGTGTCAAAATGATACTTCTGTATGACTCTACTCAAAGAACGGAAATATTTGCAAATGCCCTATATTAGATAATTTCATCTTCTGGTCTGGATCCAAGCAAAATTAATTTGGAGTCAACAGTGTTTCTACACTAATGATGACCTTAGGCAGACATGCTATTAGGACCATGTTAAAACTGAGAAACTGTTAAGTACCTTCTTGTACCCTATCTAGTGACGATAACCCAAGTTCCACTTAATGTGCCTTATAAGACATTCCATAGCATCAGAAATCTTGTTATATGCAATCTTGTTATCATGAAGTGTAATTTTAAACACAGACCCTAAAACCCAATTTAGAAAAGCTATGCTTTATTTTCCAACCACACAATACCTATGCCTGTACTGTAACTAGTGAACCATAGAACTCGAATAAACTTCTTGAAAGTTGAAAAGAATCCAGTAACTCCTACAGAACAGCATGAACAGTGTCCGAGATGCCACAAGCACCTGTTTCCAATGTGTTCCCACCGCATCTTGTAAGTGGAAACAAGTACCAGCAAAAGCACCAGTGTCTTGGGTGCTATCACTGGGCAAAGCCCATTCCGCAAGGCTGGGACTAGGGACCTGGGGGTAGGGGGGTGCTGCCCGCGCCCTAACCGGTCCACTCGCACGCGCCCTCCATCCTCCCGCCCGCGCCCCGCGCGCCGGTACTCACAGCTCGGGTCTCATACAGAACCAGCTTCTGGACGGAGCTGATGATGGGGGCGGCGGCCACCGGCATGGCCCCAGCAAATAGGAGCCCCCACGGCAGGGCACCAGGCCGCAGCCCAGACTGCGGCAGCCTCCGGATCGCCCCAGAAGACCAGAAAGAAGACACCTCGGGCCCTAGACACCAGGTCCAGCCGGGAAGAACCCCTCCTGGGCACTAAAGCTAAAGATAGAAATAAAGATAAAGATGTATTTGACTGGCTTCAGCTCAGGGTTTCCGGATCCGACGCCCCACCTCCAGGCAAGCCCCACCTCCAGGCCAGCCCCACCTCCAGGCCAAGCCCCACCTCCAGGCCAGCCCCACCTCCAGGCAAGCCCCACCTCCAGGCCAGCCCCACCTCCAGGCCAAGCCCCACCTCCAGACCAGCCCCACCTCCAGGCCAGCCCCACCTCCAGGCCAGCCCCACCTCCAGGGCCAGCCCCGCCCCAGGGCCAGCGGGGCGGGGGTGGAGGCTGTACCATCGGGAGGCGGGCGGCGGTGCCCGGGCCTGCGTGCTGCCGGGGAGGGAGCGAAGGGCGCCGTCTTTGGTGCGGGCGGAAGAAAAGATGGGCGGAGACGGTGCCAAGTTAGTGCAGCCCCTGGTTTGTCTGACCTTCTCTTTGGGAAAAGGGAAGGCTTGGAACTGGGTTGCTTCTTTTGAAGCGCTTCTCCGAGTTGCAGACAGAGCCATTCCCAAGTCGGCCTGTTTTTTTCCGGGTCTACGTTTGCCTTTATTTTCCTGGGAACCTGCTTGGTGATGGCGCTTCGCTGATGTCAGCGCTTTCCCCTCACATCCCTTTGTTGCCTGTTTTACCCTCATCGTCCAGAGGGTGCATGCTCCAAGGGCCTTTTTTAACCACCTGAAGTTGGCAACGTTGGGCTTGGCCATCTATTCGTGCCGGAGGCTACCTATTTGTAAATTCTGCAAATGGACTGGGAGGGTGGAGCGGCGCGGCGCAGGGCAGCACCGCCCTGGGAGCCCCGCCGCTCTGCGTTAAGGTGAGGCTCCTTCCACCCGGTGGTGTGGACATAAATGGGCAGTGCATGCACCCTCTCTGGTCATCGCCTTCTAGATTTGCGAAAATATAGTGTGTTGTAATTATGAATGCCAATTTAGGTACAAAAGTGAATATTTAAAATAAAACAAATTACAGCCGCACCGCCGATGCCCCGCCCCCAAGCCCTGAGCCCGGAGCCCCTCCCCGCCCCCTCCCAAGCGTCCTTGCGCGCTGCCCCGCCGGGGTTCCCTGGGCAACCGCTCAACAGATCCGAGGGTTCCCGGAGGCGGCTGTAGCCCACCAGTGGGGTCCGCTGGGGTCCCTTGCGGCCAGGTAAGTAGGGATGGTAGTTTATTGACCCAATGCATTTTGGTACAGATTGAATGGAATTCCACCTGCGGGGACCCCAGACCAGTTACTTTTCTTGCAAAAGTAAACTTCGAAATCTCCACAAATTCCGCTTTTTAAAAATGTTTCCCCTTTCAAAGACTAATGTTTTCATTCAAGAAACATTTACTGAGCACCTACTATGGGAGCATAAGATGAATACTGGAGGGGCAGCTAATCTGGCCTAGGCAGAGTGCGAGGTTTTCCAGGAGCGCCCCCCCCTCCCCCGTGTAACCCTCAGGACCCACTGCTAGAGGGTTTTTCAACTGCTAAAATTGTAAGGACACTTTAAAAATGTACATTGAATTATAGTGTAAACACATAATGTGATATTAGAAATTATATGATATAATGTGACATTAGAGATAATATAAATTCAAAGTTGAAAAATTACAGAACTTTTCAAATAAATATTTAATCATTTTAAATTTCCTTTCACAGTTTGGTACTCCTTTTATTAAGAACTAGATAGGTGACCATGTCAGTTTTGATATTTTGTGTTGACTTGGATCTTTTAACTGAGGAAAAATATTTAGCTCTGTTCCATTTATAATGGAAACCAACTCTTCTGAAAATGAGTTAAATATTTGCATAATGTTTTTATTTAGGATAACTCTTAAAATATTTGTTGAATTGTGATGTTCTAATATTTAGTTTTCAATTAGCCTATATAATAAAAGCCTGATATGCTAAGTCTCCGGTCGACCAGTTGGCCATTCAACCAATCAAAGTGTAATATGCTCATTATATGCTAAGGCTACTCAACTGCTTGCTGTGACGTGCACTGACCACCAGGGGGCAGATGCTCCAACCGGTAGGTTAGTTTGCTGCTGGGGTCCAAGATGGGCTGCACAAGCCCTGGAGCCCTCCCACAGTCCCTCCCTGGCTGGCCACCCGCCCGAGTCCCTCCCCAACCCCGATCGTGCACTAGTGGGGTCCCTTGGCCTGGCCTGAACCCTCTCGCAATCTGGGACCCCTCAGGGGATGTTGGAGAGCCGGTTTTGGCCTGATGGCAGAACGACCGGTCGCTATGACGCACACTGACCACCAGGGGGCAGACCCTCAACGCAGGAGCTGCCCCCTGGTGGTCAATATGCTCCCACAGGGGGAGTGCCACTCAGCCAGAATCCGGGCTCACGGCTGGTGAGCACAGCAGCAGTGGCGAGAGCCTCTCCTGCCTCCGTGGCAGTACTAAAGATGTCCGACTGATGGCTAAGGCCCGCTCCCCATGGTAGAGGGAACAGGCTGGGCTGAGGGACCTCCCCCCACCCCCACCCCCGCCTGAGTGCACGAATTTCATGCACTGGGCCTCTAGTTATATTATAATTAAGCATTTCCATTTGAACTTTGTCTTAGTTTGATTCAGCCAAAAACAGATCCTGAGACAAAAATTTGAATACAAATAGTTCCTATGGGGAATACTCCCCAAAACAACAGGGAAGTGAAGGAAGCTAATAAAGGGAATATTATCAAACAAATTTCTCTGTGGGCTGAATTCACTGGGGAATTCACATGGCTGAATGGATGTCTCAGTTATTTCCTCTTAAGGGGCAAAGGAGCTGGTGTATTCGTTCATCAACCCCCACCAGTTATTGGCTGATTGTTAATCCCCTGGAACTTCCACTCTGCCCTGTGCTCAGGCAGAATAGGTGTTGGCAGCCAAAAAGAGCCATTAGGCAGAGTCACACATGCCAGCCAGCAGTTGGAAGTTGGGCTGGCCATGCATGGAAAAGGTATATGTCAAGTAGATATGAACAGGGCAGTAATAACTTCTGCTCTGTTCCAACCTTTGCACCACTCATATCCACTTCTCCCCCATGTCCCCAAGTTCACACCATCTGTCACTGATTCTTCAACATGGTGTCTGGTCCCAATTTCTAAAAGAAATGGACTCACAAAAATATGATTAGCAGGACAGACTACAGAATTCACTATTGCAATTAATCCTAAGTCTATGACTGATAATTGATCACTTCCCTCTTCTACCACTCCTTCTAAATTTTCCTTACCCTTGGCCAGCATGTCTGCTGGTTTAAATTGTTTTACCAGTAGAGTAGCCAGTCTTCATCCCTGAAGAGTATAAACCCCTGGTTATGATGTCCTTGTCAGGTTGTGGGTGGTTGCTACCGTTATCCATTCACTGGCTGTGACAGCATCAAGAGGAGTCTCAGAGAATCCCCTGCATTCAAGACATAATTTCCCTGTCCTAATTATGTAGCAGCAGCTCTACCTCCACCAGTGTAATAACTCCTTACCAGGTATGTGGAGCCAAATATAATCAGGTGGCAGCAGCAATTTTAGGTTTAGTGAAACCTAACTAAGTGGGTCCTTTGGAAGAAGCATCTCTCCTCAGTCAAAACCAGGGCTTCCAATCCAGCAGAGCCTCAAGTTGTGAAGAAGGTTGGTGCAAACATCAAGCACAGAGTGATAACGGGGGCAGTCACTCTTACCAAATCCTTGGTCCAAAGCATGTTCCTCATCTTGAAGCACCATGTCTCAATGCCACACAATCCCATACTGGTACTTTAGCTGTATCTTTAAGAGGCCATTTTAACAATCTCACCAGCAGCTTCTAGGTGAGGTGGTATGTAGGAGGATCCTCCTTATATCTTCATTACTACAAAGGCTCCTTTGATCCAAAGCAGTATGACGTGGGATCCCATGATAAGTGCTACAAGTCCAGGCCACAGAAAGTGATGCTGGCCAAGGCATCAGGTAGGAAAGGCAAATCAACAATTTGTCACTGAATGGGTGTATCATATTGGGGCTCAGCCTCGGTCTCTGCAGCAGATAGGGAAGACATTCAACAGAAGTACTAGAGGAGCCTGAGAGGGAGCCTTGTTGTTGAGCCCATGCGTAGCCTCCATTGCCTCCATCCCTGCCACATGCTTACTCCATGTCTGAGCCCATGAGGCAAGCACTGAGGTGACCAAGGACAAAGGCTAGTTGGCATTTACTGGATTATCGTCCTGACCACCGGGTTGGTGACTGCCTCTTCTGAGATGGATGCTTTGTGAGAAAGCTCCACATATTTTGTGTTCCTTTGTTTAGTTTTTTATGCAGTATAACAAATTACCACAAATTTAGCATTTTAAAACACGCATTTGCCAGCTGACATGGCTCAGTGGTTGAGCATTAACCTATGAACCAGGAGGTCAGGGTTCAATTCCCAGTCAAGGCATATGCCTGGGTTGCAGGCTCGATCCCCCAACAGGGAGCATGCAGGAAGCAGCTAGTCAATGATTCACTGTCATCACTGATGTTTCTCTCTCCCTCTCCCTTTCTCTCTGAAATAAATAAAAATACAGTATGTTTAAAAAAATACATTTATTATCTCACAGTTTCCATGTTCAGGAGTCCTGACATGGCTTAGCTAGATCCTCTGCTCAGGGTCTCACAAGACTGCAATCAAAGTGTTGGCTGAGCTGCATTTTTATCTGGAGGTTCAACTAGGGAAGAGTCCACTTCCCAGCTCAGTCACATTGTTGGCAAAATTTGTCTCTAGGATTGAGGTCCCAGTTTTCTAACTGACTGGGGGCCAGTGGCTGCACTCAGTTTCTGAAGCCACCGACTGTTCCTTGCCATGTGGTTCTTTTATAACTTCTTTCTTCAGAACCAATCAGGAGGTCTCTCTCCAGACCACTAAGATGGAGTCTTCTATAACATGATGTTATGGGAGTGACATTTTTATTACTTTTGCTATATTTAGAAGCAAGTCACAGACTGCAGTCAGAGGAGGAGAATTACACAAGGGTGTGACTCTTCAGAGGTCACCTTAGGGCCTAAGGCTTAGCCAGTGGTTCTCAACCTTCTGGCCCTTTAAATACAGTTCCTCATGTTGTGACCCAACCATAAAATTTACTTTCGTTGCTACTTCATAACTTTAATGTTGCTACTGTTATGAATCGCAATGTAAATATCTGATATGCAGGATGGTCTTAGGCGACCCCTATGAAAGGGTCGTTCCACCGCCAAAGGGGTCGCGGCCCACAGGTTGAGAACCGCTGCCTTGGAGTGTGATTGCCATACCACTCTCATCTGTCCATTCACATGCTCTTCCCCCAAACTCCTTTATCTTCTGATCTTGTTCCTTACAGGCCCTTGACCAGGTGAATTAAGACCCACTCCAGGTATCCTAACCAGATGTTAAGGCATGAGTCCTCAGAGAGAGTCCCCATGTCAATAAAGTCTTATCCAGTCAACATTCCCCTACCCAGCACTCTCAAGATCTCCCAGGATGTTTTCCTGGTTTCTACTGGCACATCATAGCCAGGCCCTTCAGCTCTTTAGGTGCCTAATACCTATTTTTCCTGTACCAGTGCCTCACCAGTTGGACTAGGCCAGTGGTCAGCAAACCGCGGCTCGTGAGCCACATGCGGCTTTTTGGCCCCTTGAGCGTGGCTCTTCCACAAAATACCACGTGCAGGCACGCACGTACAGTGTGATTGAAACTTCGTGGCCCATGCGCAGAAGTTGGTTTTCGGAAAGAAGATAGACGAAACAAGTATACAAGACGAGTGTGGATGGGAGAGTTGGAAGGGGTCGACCTCAGCGAACGTACCTCAATCAGACTGAGGACGTTTTTAGCAAAGGCCAGCTTAGGAATACCCTAATTAAGTTAATAACCATGTACCTACCTATATAGTTTAAGTTTAAAAAATTCGGCTCTCAAAAGAAATTTCAATCGTTGTACTGTTGATATTTGGCTCTGTTGACTAATGAGTTTGCCGACCACTGGGCTAGGCTGACATTTGACACCAGCTACTGCTCTAGAAGCTATGAGGGAGGGTGAAGGCAAATCTTGGTGGAAGGCAAGCATTGTCTTCTGAGGCATCTCCATTAGGCCAGGCAAGAAGAGCCTGAAATCTTCCAGAAAGGAGGAGGGGCTACTTCTGTTAATGCAGAGCACTCAGGGGAACCTGGGGATTCAAGGTACTTTTGACATCCACCTAGGTAGCCTCATCCCAGGCCTTAGTATTTAATAGAGTCTTAGTACTTAATAGAGTTTCTTTAATAAGTGCACCATCTTTCTAAAAGGTGTAGATGCATTTTCCCCTTTAAAACTACATTTCATGGTAGTATTACTTATATTTTTGGTATAAAAAGCTTAAAATTTCAGCCCTGTAGTTCATGAAGTATTCATCTTAGGTATTTTTAATATAGTAGTAATATTTCTCGCTATATCTTGTTTCATAATGACATCTTAAAATAATGTTAGTTATATTAAGCCCATTTGAAAATTCTTAACTTCCATAGAGAAGTATAATCAGATCCCATGTACCTGGAAGCTTATAATTCCCTCAATCCATTTTTTTTCCCCTGGACGGTGTCCCAGACCACTCTGACATAGTTTTATTCCATTTTTGAAATTTGCTTATTAAAGTCTTTTATAAGGTTTTGTAATTTTTTCATAAAGGGCCTATCTATCTTTGATTATATTTAATCCTGGTTACTTATATGTTTGCTGTTAAGTCATATTTATTTTTTGTTAAAATTTTTTAGCTGTTTTTTGGTGTATAGAAATACAACTGAATTTTGTACAATGATTTTGAATCCAGAAAAGTGGATTATCTCATTAACTCTTAAAATTTATCCATGATTGAGTTTTCTGTACAGGTAATCGGATCAACTGAGAATAATTACACATTTTTGTCTTGTTATGACTTTAAAAAGAACACCTTAAATATTTAATCATTGAATGTGTTTGTCTTGTTTTCATACTCTTTATCAGTTACAGAAGTTTCCTTTATTCCTAGTTTATCTTTTATTAATAATTAAAGGGTATTGAATTGTCCTATACTTTTTCCATTAAGATAATCATATAGTTTTTCTCCTTTATTTTAATGTGATAATTTAATGTTCTCATATTAAACCAGCCTTGAATTCCTGAGGAAAACCCAACTTGATCATGATGTTGTTATCTTTTTTATATATTGCTGGATTCAACTTGCTATTATATTGATTAAGATTTTTAAAATCTTATTCATGAATGAAATTGGCACATAATTATGCTTTTTCACACTGTTCTCTTGTTTAGGTATGGAGATTATATGAAACCCATAAATTTATGTAGGAAGTCTACACTACCTTTTTTCTGAAAGAGAATCTGTAAGATTGTAAGACATGGAGCTCTTCAACAAAACCATCTGGTTTCTTTGTGGGAAGATTTTTAATTACTGACCCCATTTCTTTAATGGTTAAAGAACCACTTAGGTTTTCCTTTTTTTTTTCCTTAAGAAACTGATTTTTCTAAGAATGTATCCATTTTGTTTGTTTTAAAATATATTTTGGATAACTGTGTTTATGATATCCTTTTATTATCTACTAGAGGCCTGATGCACGAATTCATGCACAGGTGGGGTCCCTTGGCCTGGCCAGTGTTCAAGGCCTATTGGGAGGCCAGCCGGCTGGGAGGGGAGGGACTGCAGGAAGTTGGCCAGCGGGCCAGTCGTTTAGTCATATGACGTGCACTGACCACCAGGGGGCAGATGCTCAATGCAGGAGCCGCCCCTTGGTGGTTAGTGCCCTCCCACAGCCATCCTCCCGCAATCCCTCCCCCCGACCCCTATTATTATTTTAATACATGAGTTTAACTTATTTGTAATTATTAGCAAAAGCCATGTATTTAGTGGTATGAACTGGCTTCTGGGCTAAGTAAATTTATAGGGTATTCTAGTTCTCCCTAGCCTACCTACTTATTCCAACTAAATTAGGCACTTTAACAATCTTACTCTTTCTTATTGCAGTATTTTTTATTATGGCTTTTCAAGAGAAGATAGAAGAACATCCTTTTGTGGATATATTTGATGAAGATGAAGCTGAAAAACACTTTATGTTATCTAAACCTGTTTGCTTTGTTGTATTTGGGAAACCAGTAAGTTATCTCTTCTAACTTATTTGGTATAATTTTAAAAAACACTTTATTGAAGGATAATAAGCATACAGAAAATGACTCATAGATGTACATCTGGGTGCATTTGCATGGACTGCACACGCTCAGATAGAGACACTGAGCATGACAGCACTCCAGACCCTCACACTCTCTTCCTAAACACCGCCCTAGAGTATCTAGCAACTTAGTTAATTTGGCCAGTTTTTGTTCTGTGTTTTTTTTTCCCATTTCTAAATAATTTTTATTTTTCAATTGCAGTTGACATACATTATTATATTAGGTTCAGGTGTACACCCCAGTGATTAGACATTACATAACTTAGTAAGTGATCATCCCGATAAATCTAGTACCTGTCTCACACCATACATAGTTATTAGAATATTATGGATTATATTCCCTATGCTGTACTTTACATCCCCATAACTATGCTCTAAGGACCAATTTGTACTTCTGTTTTTAAATTGAATTTGTTAGCGTCACATTGGTTAATTAAGTTATATAGGTTTAAGGTGTACAATTCTATAATACATCATCTGTATATTATATTATTTTCACCACCCCATATCATGTCTGTTTCCAACACCATTTATTCCTCCTTTACCGTCTTCTGCCTCCTCTACCCCTAGTTTGCTCTGGTAATGACAATACTGTTGTCTATGAGGTTTTGTGGTTTTTTGTTTTGTTTTTTTTTTGCTTAATCCTTTCACCTTTTTCACCCAGCCTCCTTACCTCCTCCCTTCTGACATCGATGAGTCTGTTTCTATTTTGTTTGTTAGTTTATTTTGTTCATTAGATTCCACAAATTAGTGAGATCACATGGTATTTGTCTTTCTCTGACTGGCTTATTTCAGTCAGCATAATACTCCCCAGGTCCATCCATGCTTTTGCAAAAGGTAAGATTTCCTTCTTTTTGATGGCTAAGAAGTATTTATTTAGTATACTTTTTTAATTTTTAAAGTCATAATCTTAGGAATCTTATGTTACCAAATAAGAATGAAAATCACATAGTGTACTAAATTTTTTTGAGTGTTTGTTAGACTTTCATTGTATGACTTAAAACCTGATACAATATTGGTTGTAAATGTATAAACTTTCTCTCTTCTTGTGCATTATAATTGGAAAGGAACCTACATTATCTTTGGTTTTGTATTACGAAGAATTTAACTCCTCAAAGCACTGTACAATGACAATTGTTAGCTGTATGTGAGCCAAGGTTACATCAGACTCAATGTGCATATAAAACTTCCTGTGGAATTTGTTGTGAGCCTCCCTGGGTATGTGAAGGGGGGACAATATTAGGACAAATGGGAAGTTCTCCCATTAATATCTGAAGCTACTGCGAGGCAAGGTGCCTCATCTTGGCCCATAATGTGTCGGTGGACCTATGCATTGTCTTTCCACAAGACAGGAAGGAACCAAAAATGGCTGTCATAAGACAGCTTGCCTTTCTAGGCAGCTCCAGTAAGGCCCTCTAGATGAGAGCTCTTTGCAACCACAGAGCTAGTTGGTAGTTACCATTAGGGGCCAGAGCTGGTTAATGAAAGAGCCTCTTCAGAACAGCAGAGACCAAAGGCTGGATCCTGCTTTTTAACCTAAAGTTATATGGATCCTAGGACAGATACCAAGAAATGATTCCAATAATTTTATTATGTTTCTAAAAACATAACAGAGTTTAAAAATCAACAGTGAAAGTAATCAGATGCAGCTGTTACTTCAATAAAGTGATCTTTTATCTTAGAGTGTGATACTTTAAGATATTCATTAAGAAGGACTTTTTTCACCCTAGCTGGTTTGGCTCAGTGGATAGAGCGTCAGCCTGCAGACTAGAAGTTCCCACGTTCGATTCCGGTCAAGGGCATGTACATTGGTTGTGGGCACATCCCCAATAGGAGGTGTGCAGGAGACAGCTGATCGATGTTTCTCTCCCATCGATGTTTCTAACTCTCTATCCCTCTCTAAAAAAAATATTTTTTTTAAAAAAAAGAAGGACTTTTTTCTATCGGGAGTTACTAAATAAAAGTCTTACGAAGTCCAAGTCTTGTAAGACATGGAGCTCTTCAACAAAACCATCTGGTTTCTTTGTGGGAAGATTTTTAATTACTGACCCCATTTCCTTAATGGTTAAAGAACCACTTAGGTTTTCCTTTTTTTTTTTCTTAAGAAACTGATTTTTCTAAGAATTTATCCATTTTGTTTGTTTTAAAATATATTTTGGATAACTGTGTTTATGATATCCTTTTGTTATCTACTAGAGGCCTGGTGCACGAATTCGTGCACAGGTGGGGGGTCCGTCGGCCTGGCCGGTGATCAAGGCCTATTGGGGGATCAGCCGGCTTGAGGGGGAGGGACTGCAGGAAGTTGGCCATAAACAATTCATGATTATGAACTTTAAGAAGGAACTAAAATGATGAATCTCAATATAATCACAATGCTTTGACATTCAAAAGTGTTTAATACATGGAATATTATTTTGGTACAGTTTCCTGATTTTTCGGGTATACTCTTCATTTATTTTGGAAAATAGTTCACTTGATAATAGTAACTGTCCATAGAATCTTTTAAAATAAGAATATCTGTTCCACTGGCAAATAGCTATTTTATTGGGTTTTAAATAATCTTTCTTTTTAAGGGTGTTGGGAAGACAACATTAGCCCGTCACATAGCACAAGAATGGAAATGTATTCGTGTAGAAGGTAAATTTTATTTCCCCCCCCCCAATATTTTAGTATAATAACTTTCAAATATTATACAATGAACACTCATATAACCTATCAATAGTCTGTGACTAACATTTTGCTTTATCACACATCACTATCAACCCAGTGAATTATCTTTATAATAGCGTCAAACATGTTTTGCCCTTTGGTAAGTCCTAGTTTTGTTCATAAAATTTAGGAGGGTTTATGAAGGGTCTTTGACTCCATTCTGTTGCTTCCAATTCTCTGATTTCATAATTTAGAACTGTTGAGGATATGTGTCTTTGGAGTGTCTTCCTATGAAAAATGAAAAGAGAAGAAACTCTCACAGCTGCTCTTGGGAATATTTTCCAGCACTTAATTATCTTCAGTGATAAATTTATTTTTTATTATTTATAAATTGACTTACATTCTTTGCAATATATAAGACAAGGATTGATGTCTTTATATATAAATATTCTGATAATCAATACAACTACTTATGGCCTCTTTGAAAAACAATTCATAAAAGTAGAAGCAATAGGCCAATATAAGAAAAAAAGAGTTTAACCTCATTGTTATTCAAAGAAATGCTAATTTAAATAACACCGATCCATATTTGCCTATCAAGTTGGCAGTAAATTTTTAAAGTTTCTACAGTCATTGTTTACAAGAATTTATGAAATGAACATTCCATGGGCTGTTAGTGAAATTGCAATTGAATACACTTTTGGAGAGAAACAATTCAATAAATATACACACAAAAACTTTAAAACAATAAAATAAAATTTCCTTTTTGATCAAAAAATTCATTTGTAGGAAATCTTAAAGAATATCAAGTGTTCCATAGATTATTAGCAGCTAGGGACATAATATAGCTCCTGGGTCCTCCCCTGTCATTTCTATCCCAGGACATTTTCCAGCAAGAGATGGAATATTTCCTCTTAAAAAGGAAACACTTGCCCAGCTGGTGTTGCTCAGTGGTTAAGCATTGACTCATAAACCAAGACGTCACAGCTTCAATTCCTGGTCTGGTCACATGCCTGGGCTGCAGGCTCGATCCCAAGTAGATGGTGTGCAGGAGGCAGCTGATCGATGTTTCTCTCTCTCTATCCCTCTCCCTTTCTCTCTCTAGAATCAATAAAAACATATTTTTAAAAAATAAATAAAAAGGAAACACATTATTCAAATTTCAGCTTTAGGACCCTTTTTCTATCAGTTTTTATCTATTTTATAATTTCTTGATGCATATTTCCCTTTTTTACAACCAGCATACAAAATTAATGGGCTCTGGATATAACGGTATGGTTATAAGTAATATAGTCCAGATACTTTTGTGCAATACTTCACAATTTCCAAATCATTATCATATACACAGCCTCATTTCATGCTCATATTCTTTTGCATATTATACAGGGCATAAGCGCCCGAGGCATGGTGGTGTTTAGGAAGTTAGCTTCCCCAAGGTGGCAGAGATGGGTTCTCTGTGGAAAATATTCTGCTGCTTCTACACTTGTGTATAAACATGCTTTGTACACTCTAAAGTGATACACAAATGTTAATCTTTGTTACCAGTTACAAAACACACAAATGCGTTTCTTAATTTGACAAATCTAATACCACTTTGTGCTAATATTTTGAATTCTTATTTCAGCTCTAACAATTTTGGAAGAACATATTGCCAATGAAACCGAAGCAGGAGTTATGGTAAACAAATCTAAATTTCAAAGTTATTATTTTTTTAAAGCTGTGTATCACAGGTATATTATACAGTAATGTAAAATATCTGTGCTTTTCTTAGTTGCAATCAATGCTGATGAGTGGTCAAAGCATTCCAGATGAACTTGTCATAAAGCTAATGTTGGAGAAGCTCAACTCCCTAGAAATCTCTCACTTTGGTATGTTTATTTCTGTGCATTGATGGTTATCAGAGCAGCCTTAAAACTGTGCTTTTCCCAGCCAGTGTGGCCCAATGGTTGAGCATGGGCCCATGAACCAGGAGGTCTGCTGGCTTCATCCCCAGTAGGGGGCGTGCAGGAGGCAGCCCATCGATGTTTCTCTCTCATATTTCTACCTCTCTATCCTTCTCCTTTCCTCTCTTTAAAAATCAATAAAAATATATTTTTTAAAAAATGCTCTGTCTGAGCAGAAGTAATTTCTGGAGTTGCTCTTTCTTTTGCCCTGGCACAGGTCCCAGAGCCTGAATTCAATCCAGCACTTCAGATAGTTTTGCTTATTTACTTGTTTTTATTTCTTATACTCTCCTTTTGTATGAATTAACTTTACATGATCCAATCTTCTTTTAGCACTGTGTTTTTCAACAAAAGCTTCAAAAAGCTGCTGTGATCCTCCTCGCAGTGCTGACAGCTTCTGCTGACTGCTTTCCCGTTCACCCTGGGTTTGATTACTAAGTCCTGTCAATGGGTTAATTAGGTTCCTCTGTATTAATCCACACTTCTCAGGCAGGAACGGAAACGAGAATAGCCCCAGCTTGTCCTCTGGCTCTAGTTATTGGCAGGCTTCAGTCTGTTCACCCAGCTTACCCCCTGACTGTGGACCCCAGAAGTCTCCCTGCATTCCAACAGGTGCTGACCAGGGGCTTTGGAATTGTCTGATGGGAGGGGTGAGCTGGGCCAGGCTTGAATTCAATCTAGGGTTGGGCAAGCTGCCCCATTCAGCACAGCACCCACCTTTGTGATGTGTCAGACCTGGACGTTAACACCAGCCATCAGCCCCCAGAGGAGGCACTGGTCAAAGCCTTGAAAACAAGTTCAAAAGAAGTTGCTAATCAAGTGAGGACTAGATTAACGACAGGAGCCAGACCAAACTAGGGGAGTGCTGAGACAGGAAAGCAAAAAAGCCAGAACAGCAGGAGGAGGCAAGCAGAGAAAGGCCCGGCTCTGGCTCCAGTTCCTGAGAAGGCACGGCTGCATGCATGGCTGTATTTTTGCAGTGGTGCCTTGGGCTCGCTTAAAGAGCCTCAAATAGAATGAATGCCTCAGGATGCCACCCCTCTTGCAGAGTGTTTCAAAGATAACAGCAGGAACACATAAGGAAGTGAAAGCCAAGTAGGAAACTAAGGATTATAGTAAAACAGGAGAGAATCATGCTAACACTCACATATCCAAACCCAAGATAACAGATCTCCCTTTCTGCTTAGGGTTGCTTCTCTGGACAGCGTCCAACGCATAGAGGCAAAAAGTAAAGTGAGAAAGCTTAGGAGAAACTGACACATTTAATGAGGTTTTGGATTACCATGAGAGTTGTTGATCTGATTTTTTTTTTTAAATAAAAGATTGTGATCGATATCTTCTTAAGTGGGGATTTTGAGGTTGGCTTATGAGACACATTTATTCATCTACCAACAGATGCTTAGTAGCTTTTTTTATTACACTACTCTAGGCATTGTATAGGATAGCAGTTCTCAAGATTCCATTACACTTACGAGAATTGTTGAGGCTCCAAAGGAGCTTTTACTTATGGGTTATATCTATCGGTATTTACCATATTAGAAATTAAAACTAGAACATGTTTAAAATATTTAAAAAACAGTTCCATGTTAACATAAATAGCATATTTTATAAACATAATTATATTATTCAAAGCACAATATTTGGTGATATTTTATTTTTGCAAATTTCTTTAATGTCTGGCATAAGAGAAGACCTAGCTGAATTCTCACATCTGCCTTTGCTTAGTTTGTTGCAATATATTGTTTTTGTTGAAGTACATGAAGAAAATCCAGCTTCACACAATGGTAATTGGAAAAGGAAGGGTATTTTAATGGTCTTTAGGATAATTGTGGATATTCTTGATCCTACACCAAAACTTGATAAGGAGCCCTGGCCAGTTTCTCAATGGTTAGAGCATTGGCCCATGGACCCGAAGGGTCTCAGATTTGATTCCCTGTCAAGGGCAGTACCTCTGTTGCAGGTTCCATCCCCTGCATTAGTGTTCATCAGAAATTAGATGACATTTTGTAAAGCAATAATAATAATTCCATGCTCTCACATGGGTAATATAAAACTTTAAAAATCATATTTTACTCTACAGGTTATATTATCACTGAAATACCAACACTTCCACAGGATGCCATGACTACTTTACAGCAAATAACCTTAATTAAAAATCTAGATTTGAAACCTGATATTATAATCAATATTAAGGTAAGAAGTTGTTTTCTAGTATAGTTAACCATTCTTTTTGATGGAAGTGAAGTTAAAGGACTGTTTATAAAAATTTTAAGTAATTAGGGAAATAACTAATTTATGCATCAGTCATAGGGACTGAGCTATACACTCTTAAACCTCTGTGCTTTTGCACCTGCAGCTCTAATCACAGTGGACACCTCCTTGCCTCTTGTCATCCTTTGAAAGTTAGTCAGACATCATCTCTTCAGAACTTCCCCCCAGGGTGACCCCTATACACCAACACACCCATTAACTAATTCATTCTCTCTCCCCACTTCCCCAACACATTACTACAGGAAAGTTAAATACATCTCTGATGACCATTCACATTAATCTCATCTCTCTATCACATTACCTCACTATATTGTCATTGACTATTTTCCTTCCGGACTCGGCCTTACTTGAAGGCAGGGGCCATGTCTTACATAAATTAGCTCAATATCTGGCACCTAGTTGACACCGAATACGTCTTCTAGTTAAATAAAATAAAAGAACAAACAAATGATTTGGACACATGAATGTTAAAGAACTAGATTGATTAAGAATCAAGGCTGGCTCCTGTTCCCAATTCTCTCCTTTCTCATTGGTAAGCACATTTAGGAACCTCAATTCCTCTTTACAAAGATGATGATAACTGCCTCATGAGGTTTTGATAAGAATACAGTGAGGTGAGGACTACTTGTTTATATAAAAATGAATGATGCCCTAGCTGGTTTGGCTCAGTGGATAGAGCATCAGCCTGCGGAGTGAAGGGTTCAAGGTTCGATTCCAGTCAAGGGCACATGCCTGGGTTGTGGGCTTGGTCCCCTGTGGGGGGTGCGTGCAGGAGGCAGCCGGTCAATAACTCTCTCTCATCATTGATGTCTCTGTCTCTCTCTCCCTCTCCCTTCCTCTCTGAAATCAATAGAAATATATATATTTTTAAAAAGAAAGAAAAGAAAATGAATGATAAGCTTTTGTATTCATACCCTGCCTGATTCTCCAAAAGGCTTGACAGCTCAAAATAAATTAGATGGTTCTCAGCTCAGGTGTTGGGATCCAGTGGTGTGTGGAGGTCAGCGTGAGAGAGGTGGCATTGCAGTGCTGAGCACACAGCCCCAGCCACAGGTCATGGTCAGAGACTAATCGAAATCCCTGTGATCTTGAGACTGTCACATACGTGAACATGTGTGTAATAGAGAGAAGAAAATATCTCAAACAATTAACTGAAGCCAAATATAATGTCTAAGCCATGGAAAAGATAGATTGTATAGGAAGTTTAAAACGTGGTAGAACAAGAGCACAAAGGCTATAGTGCCAAATGCTTACTAAATTTCGGGCATCAATTTGGTTCTAAGTTTGATGAGCCAGAGTAGAAGGGGAAGTGTGGCCAGTTACATAAAATTCACATTGACCATGAAAAGACAAGCGAGCCATTCCTCAGGAAAAACGAGTCCTATTAAAAAGGAGAGAAATATCTTACATGGATCTTACTGTAAGCGATTGTTAATGCAGAGAATGAAGTCCTGAACCCCATTTATAAGTGTGATAGTGAGTGCCCATGGCAGTTTCTGCAGTGCAATCAGAGGGCCTAATGTGAGACCGAACTCAGCACAACACACAGTACATGATGGTTTAGTCCAGTGGTTCTCAACCTTCCTAATTCTGCGACCCTTTAATACAGTTCCTCATGTTGTGGTGACCCCCAACCATAAAATTATTTTTGTTGCTACTTCATAACTGTAATTTTGCGACTGTTATGAATCGTAATGTAAATATCTGATATGCAGGATGTATTTTCATTGTTACAAATTGAACATAATTAAAGCATAGTGATTAATCACAAAAACAATATGTAATTATATATGTGTTTTCCGATGGTCTTAGGCGACCCCTGTGAAAGGGTCGTTCGACTCCCAAAGGGGCCGCGACCCACAGGTTGGCGACCCACAGGTTGAGAACCGCTGGTTTAGTCTTATTTGGGAACAAAACCTGGAATTTCTAGAGCAGAAGTTCTTAGCCTGGGATCCATAACTCCTTCAGCATCTATGAACCTCCTGAAATCACGTACAAAATTTTATGTGTATGTGCATTTTTATGAAATAAAAGCCTATGTCTTTCATCATATTCTAAAGAGTCTGTACTACAAATATATATATATATATGGTTATATGGTTAAGGGCCAGTGATCTCCTGCAGCAGTGGTTCTCACAGTATGGTTTCCAAACCAACTGCATCAGCAGCACTCAGAAGCTTGTTAGAAGTGCATATTCCTGATGTATACCTGAAACTAATGTAAAATAATATTGAATGTCAACTGTAATTGAAAATTTAAAAAAAAAAAGAAAGAAATCAAATTCTGTGGCCCCACCTCCAAACTACGAGTCAAAAACTCTGGGGATGGCATCCAGCTACCTGTTGAAAAGTCCTTTAGGTGACCGCTGAGGTTTGAGGACCACTGCTCAGAGGCACGTCCTTCGGACTGACCCCTTGTTAATCAGTTTCTACAAGTGAAAACAGGAGGCAACTCAAGGCAATAGTCTTTGTCAAGGACCCGCAATGTGGGTATTCTGAGTTGTTGAATAAGAGCATAAACATTTTAAAAATTACCTGAACGGGTTGAGATTTTTTTGTGAAAGATTTGGAAGCCTAAATAGAAGTCTTGCCTCAATAAATAGCCCTCCCATTGCCACATAGCGGGGGCCTGAAGAAATCAGAAAATGAGCAAGGAAGGTCCTAAAGTTTCTTGCCTTCTTTGTTTCTCAAAGATGTGGTACATGAACTGTCACATGAGAGTCACTGAGAATGCTTTTTAGAATGTCTAAGCCTCACTCCAGATTTAAATCACACGGGGGAGCAGGAATTTCTGTTTACAATTCCCTATATACAGTTACACCATAATGTTTGAGACCACAATGATAAACCAGAGTTTTTTATCCTAAAAATTATTCAGAGCAGGATATGTAGCCCTAAACCCTATTATCATTATTAATGTGCCACAGAACATGGGCTATGGACCAGAAGCCTGGCTCCAAGTTGTGGTTTGCCCTCATGACATTGTGATCTGAGACCAAAGTCAACCTGCCAGTGCATTTCTTCTCTGATCAGCAGAATGGCTTTAATCATAATATGGGATTACTTCTCTTACACGATTAGTTTGAGAATTGAGTCAAATATCACACATGGGAAAGCACTTTGAAAGAAGGAAATTACTTATAGACTTTGGTTTTGGTTTGTTTCTCTTTACTATCCAGACTCAGTTTTCTCATTTACAAAATGAAAAGTTTGGACTAGAATAAATGACCTTTCAGGTCCCATTAATGATTGGCATTTTATAAAATACTTCACCCATAAAACTGTAAATATTGTCAATGCACAGTATACCTTTTGGTTGAAAATATGTGGATATTCCCCCATTTTTCTCCATTCTCATCCTTTTCTTAACTTTTTTCAACTTGACATTTAATATCATTTTCTACTAGTGGAATGGTGCACGAATTTGTGCACATTGAAAGGAAATTAATTAGAAGAAATATTTTAATATCTCTATTCCCCCTTTCTCTATAACAGAAGTGTCAACCAAATTCACAATCAACAATGACAGATCAAAACACACACGTGTGATTGGCGCCAGAGAGAGCTTTAAATATATAGATAAACTTGCTTAATTAGACCTGGTTTCTGATTTAGCTAAACTTTTTCCAGCCCAGTGAAGCACCCCAACTTCTCTTTCAGGTAATTGTCAGCAACACAGCAGTAAATATCAACACGAAGCAGATTATTATTGTAGATCACGCAGGGAGAACAAAGGGTAAAATATTTAACTGTAGCAGTCTTTGATTATATTCTGCACAGTGAGAAAACCTGAAGTCATTTTCAAGGTCCACCATTTCTTACTTTTCAGTCGGGTCAAGTTTCTAAGCTTTCTAAATCTCCATTTTCCAGCCTGACTGGTTTGGCTCAGTGGATAGAGCGTCGGCCTGTGGACTGAAGGGTCCCAGGTTCGATTCCGGTCAAGGGCATGTACCTTGGTTGCGGGCACATCCCCAGTAGGAGGTGTGCAGGAGGCAGCTGATCAATGTTTCTCTCTCATTGATGTTTCTAACTCTCTATCCCTCTCCCTTCCTCTCTGTAAAAAAATCAATAAAATATATTTTAAAAAAAACAAATCTCCATTTTCCAGCTAATGAAAAGAAAATAGGATTCTACCAAGTCTCTTATCTACCTACTCCAGGATTTCTGTGAGGATCAAATGAGATGAAGCATGGAAAATCGCTTCACAGACATTTGGTTAAAGTGTAAAATGTTTGTACCTGGCTATAAAGCAAGTCAGGTTCTTGGGCTAAAGAAACTCCAAAGAGGCTGGTCACTAGGGAGAGGAAGCTGGGCGTTGCTACATGATGTCATTACCCAGCGCCCACAGTGACTGTTTCCCGGCTGGGCTGGGCTGTGGGCCACATTTTGCACCATGGAGTCTTGGCAGCGTTGGCTGCGATTTGGTGGGGTGCCACTGTGGGGTGGTGGCAGGGACAGTGTCCCACTCGGGGGAAGCCGAGTGTTGCTTTGTGGGCACCAGGTACATGGTGCCTTTTCTCTGTAAATGGCCAGTGCGCGTCACAGCAGCTCCTGCTTTGAGCGTCTGCCCCCTGGTGGTCAGTGCGTGTCATAGTGACCAGTTGAATGGTCGGACACTTAGCGTATTAGCCTTTTATATATATAGATTAGTTTCAGATGTCCAGCATAGTGGTTAGACATTTATACAATTTATGAAATGATCTCTCCAATAAGTCTAGTACCCACCTGACATCATACATAGTTATTACAATATTATTAACTATATTCCCTATGCTGTACCTTACATCCCTGTGACTGGTTTCTAACTACCAATGTATCTACCAATTTGTACTTCTTACTCCCTTCATCTTTTTCACCCAACCCCCCCCCCCAACTCCTCTCCCTTCTAGCAACCATCAGTTTGTTCTCTGTATCTATGAGTCTGTTTCTGTTTTGTTTGTTTGTTTGGTCTTTTGATTCCACATATAAGTGAAATCATATGGTATTTGTCATTCTCTGTTACTTCTTTCACTTAGCATAATATCCTCTAAGTCAGTGGTTCTCAACCTTGGCTGCACATTAGAATCACCTGGGAATCTTTTTTTTTTTTTTTTTATTGATTTTTTACAGAGAGGAAGGGAGAGAGATAGAGAGTTAGAAACATCAATGAGAGAGAAACATCGATCAGCTGCCTCCCGCACATCTCCCACTGGGGATGTGCCCGCAACCCAGGCACATGCCCCTGACCGGAATCGAACCTGGGACCCTTCAGTCCGCAGGCCGACGCTCTATCCACTGAGCCAAACCGGTTTCGGCGGGAATCTTTTTTAAATCCTGATTTCTGGGCCTCATCCTCCGGAAATTCTGTTTCTTTGTTACTAATGTTGTGGCCTTACCCCATAACAAAGAAACAGAATTTCCGGAGAATGAGGCCTAGAAATCAGGATTTTAAAAAGATTCCCAGGTGATTCTAATGTGCAGCCAGGTTGAGAACCACTGCTCTAA